AGTGGCGAGGCTTCTGGGAATTTTAGTCCAAGAACATCTGGGCACACAAAGTTGGGAACCACTGCTTTAGACCAGTGGTTCTTAACCTTTGTTACTCGGATGCTTTTGAACTGCAACTCCCAGAAACCCCAGCCAGCACAGTTGGTGGTGAAGGCTTCTGGGAGTTGCAGTCCAAAACTCCTGAGTAACCCAAGGTTAAGAACCAGTGCTTTAGACTGTAGCATAAATTCTTTCAGTCCAGCCCATCTTTTTAAATACTGGGATGCTAGTTCTCCTCCTAGCAAGGCTGCACAACCTGTGACCCCTATAGATGATGTTTGATTGCAATTCCCATAAACTCTAACCAATATATGAGATTTATGGGAACTGTAGTCCAAACTGAAAGATTACAAATTGCCCACCCCCTCATCTCACAAGATTTTCTTTATTTCCCCTTGTGGATGAAAAATGGACTTTCAATTATCAGAAAAAGCTTTCTGATGAGATTAAGACACTCCTTCTAATGAGTGCAAGAAATATACTGGTTAAAAGAAGAGGCTGCTTTTCTTTTAATTGCCCAGTACTGAGAACACAATATAAGCAGTTTAATAATTTACCAAAGCCATTCACACACCGTCTTCCGTCTAGCAAAGTAGACAAAAAGGACAAATAACATTATGGCCCTGGAATTCCAGTTATGGTAACCGGCGTGTTTTAAATTCCAGGAAAGGTTACATTTCAACAAGTGTATATTTCCGCTCACTTAGTGAGCTTCCCTGGCCAGCGGAGATGCATAATTCTTAGCTCCAGCCAAGGAGCTGCTTCCCGTTACATTCCATTTATAACCTCTGGCAGCCTGTCATACATAACGCTGTGAAGCATGCCTGCCTCTGTTACTACACATCCTTACTCTGCCTCTATTGCTACAATGATGCAAAGTTGCCCAAAATGTGAGCTCAGATCTAGGAAGCTATACACTTTTTTCCCTGTTGTATAGTACTGTATCTATAAGTATACTCAAGTCTTGATTTTAAATTACACCGCTGGAAAGATTTAGGGACAACATAGCCAACTTTTCTAGGAAAAAAGATTCACGCCTACAGGTCAACCCAAATGATTGATTAATTTTTCCAGCAACTACACCGGGCTACCTTTCTCCAGTTAAATAAAAAGAATCCCCTTGTTAGAACAGATAACAATCAATATTACACATTGTGGTCATGAAATGAGAGAGCTTCATTACTCAGAGGGAAAAATATCCCTAAGTTTCACTGTTGAGATGAAAAGGGGTTTTGCTTTATTTTGCTTTGTACTGGCAGAACACTCAGGCAGTGCAGTCACTGGGATGTTAAACATTTGCCAGGCTGACTGGGGTATTTGGGCAGTTGTACACCTCAAAAAAGTAACTTTCCACATGTCTGTATCCAGTGTTGTGGATTAAGCATGGAAGGCTATCACAATATTCCAAGAGGTTATCAAGTTCATGAATTTGTCTAGTCCTAGCAGCCACACCTACCCACCCATATCCTTTAAGCAATCCTCTGCATGTTTACCTAGGTCTTATTTTTTTTCCACCTTGTAAACAAGAACAGGGTGTACTGCAGCCAAAGCTAGCTTTTATCGTCACCTCTTGTGGCCATGAGTTCCGTAGATCATTCAATACGAACATAATTGAAGTCATCTATGTTCTCGTGCTATTTGTACCATTTTCCCAGGTCAGCCTAATCCTCTGTAAACATTACTCTTTGCCTATTGGGAATCTTCTCCTGAAATATTTTGGGAAGTCCTTTCTGTTGTTCCAATCAACAAGCGTGCTTTCCCATGAATAAAAAACAGCTTCCGTTATTTTGTGTGTGTTGTTTACAGAGATACTCACTCTGTATGATACAGAGGGGGACGCGCTTCTCTGCAATCTTTTTGCTATCTTTCTGAGTTATGTGCCTTTTGCTATCATCAGAAAGCATTGCTGGGGTCCTGTCTGACTTTCACTCAGCAGAGGTGCTCATTTAAGAGTTCTAGTTATTCTAAAAGCTTAGACTGTCCATGCGAAGCTAAAGAGGAGAAAAAACAAAAAGCAAAAATGCCATGGTACCTTAAACACCCAGTCTTATATTTTAACATGAGCCTTAAGAAACAGATGTACAAAGCCCACTCTGAAGTTGGTTTTAAGGTGACACCACTTTAAAAAAAATCCCTAAGTCTGTTTGCATAGACTAACATCACTAAGAATAATAGAATAGTGGAGTTGTAGGGGGCCTGTAAGACCATTGAGTCGAGCCCCCTGCTCAGTGCAGGAATCCAAACTTCGCTTTCTCTTGGATGCCTCCAGCGATGGAGCCCTCACCACCTCCCAAGGTAATGTGGTTCCAGCGCTTCACTGCTCTAACAGTTAAGGAGTTTCAGCAGGCAGCAGTTTCTTTGAAAACCACAAGGGAGGAAATCTTCTCCTCTGGAGGTGGGACCAATGTGAAAGCTAAAGTGTTAAGACGTGTGGTGTCTGAAGTGGGTTCTGACTTGCACAGATTGGGGGTTCCCGTCCCGTCCCTCGCCCTGCTCCAACTTCTCTCTCTCCCCGTTTGGCTGCGACTTCGAGCCACCGCGGCTGCCCCTTCTGTCCAGCAGGGGGCCTCCTTTCCCGTCCTAAAGGCCGACCCAACAAACGCGCTTCCACTGAGCGTCGGCCACAAATCCGCCGCGTATTGTTTAAGAGCAAAGGGCAGCAGGATTGCTTGGGATGTGGTCAGGCGACGCCCGGCGGTCATTGTACTCTTTTCTTCCCCACCGCCAGCACCACAAACACTTTTCTCCCTAAAAGCCGGTGTCCCCAGCAGCCTCCGGGGCCTCCGCCTGCACTCCCACGCCGCCGCTCCCAAAGCCCGCGGCTGTCTCCCAGAGGCGGGCTCTTTTCCCCTCTTGCGACGGGGAAGCCTCTCGCCTCTCGCCACGGGAAGGAGTTCCCAAACGCGCGTCTCCCTCCCTCGCAGCCCCGCACCGTCGCGAGTCGGTGCCGGACGCGGGAGAAAGTGCGCGGCAACCGGAGACCGCCGTCGGGGCGAGAGGGCAGGGCGTGGTGTCCGTGGGGGCGCCCGATCGCGCCAGGCGGGACGGAGGCGGCAAGACCAGTTGTTGCGTCGGGCGAGCAAGGTGCTCGGTGGCCCCGCCGAACCGGTCCGCACGCCTCCCGGGGCGGGGCAAAAGCGCCAGGGCTGCGGGACCTCGAGAGAGCTCCCGCCACGCGACGGGCCCCCGCCGCCCTAGGAGGAGACCCCCCCCACACACACACACCTGACGGCGCGGG